TATGATTTAACAGTTCTTACTACAATTCATATTTCAATTTTAGTCATATACATCATATTCCTCTTTCATTTCTTTCCTTTTTTCCCTTTTCATTTTCATTTTTACCTTTTTCTTTCCCCTTTTTTCCTTTTGTGCCTTAAAATCCTGATCTCTCCTGTTTTGCCCTATATTTCCCATTGTTCCTCCTCTCTTTTCTCTTTTTTTGTTTCACCACTGTTTATCCCACTATTTATCCCAATATTATCATTTTGTATTTCAAAGTCCTGAACTCTTCTATTTTGCCCTATATTTCCTGTTATTTTCCACCCTTTTTCTCTCTTTTTTATCTTTTCACTGTAAATCCCAGTGTAATCATTTAAGTTCTTTATATTCTTTCTATTCCATCCTCCCTTCCTTATTTGTCTCTTTCCATCCTCTTTATTTTTTTCATTGTTAATCCCAATGTAATCTCTAAAAACCTCCTTTTTATTATTACTATCCACATGTTTAGTTACTTCTTCATATTTAATCACATTGTCTTTATCTTCTTTATTTTCAGCCTCTATATCTTGCTTCTCCATCTTCATTTCCTTGTCCGCTTGCGTATGCTCCATCTCAGCTTTTGTGTCCTCAGATTTTAATCCTCCGTGTAACATTGTAGTTATTTCTCTTATTTCCATTTTCCATGACAAGTACATTGAATTAATCATTTCTCTAATTTCCTGTGCCATTTTATTCTTTTTGAGTTAATATTATTTTGGTTTTAAAAGTTGTATTCCTTTTTTTCCCCCAAAGTCAAGCCGCTTGCAGACAAAGAAATCCTCCCCAAAAGTTCTCATGGCTGTTATCTGTAAAGTTCACAATTTTCCAAAACAAGGACCAAGTAGCAATATTCCTTTTTACTCCTGAAGGCGTCTCTCTGCAATCCACAATTTTCGATTGTCTAACAAATATCCATTTTGTTTCAATCTACATTAACAATCTTACTTAGCTTCCCTTTTTCTTTTTAACTTTAAAAATAGCAAATCAGTTTTATTTATTTATTTTTATTTTATTTAAATTTAAATTTATATACCGCCCTTCTCCCGAAGGACTGAGGGCGGTGAACAGCCAAAGGAAAAAACATAAAAATACAAAATTTAAAAGGAATTTAAAATATATTAAACAATTTGGCCCAACAATTTAAATACCCCATTTAAAATTCAAATTAAAATTAGACAATTAGAAAAGTTAGGCCAGCCTGGCTTATTGAAATAAAAAAGTCTTGAGGGCCCAACAGAAAGTATGTAGATCCGGAATTGTCCGTATCTCTGGGGGGAGTTCGTTCCAGAGGGCAGGTGCTCCCACAGAGAAAGCTCTCCCCCTGGGGGCCGCAAGTCAACATTGTTTGACCGACGGCACCCCGAGGAGCCCCTCTCTGTGGGAGCGTACTGGCCGGTGGGAGGTTCTCGGTGGCAGAAGGCGGTCTCGTAGATATCCAGGTCCTAAGCCATGGAGCGCTCTAAAGGTGGTAACCAACACCTTGAATTGCACCTGGGGGACCACCGGAAGCCAGTGCAGCTCGTGCAGGAGAGGTGTTACAGGGAGCGCCATGACGCTCCCATAATCACCTGCGTGGCCGCATTCCGGACCAGTTGGAGCCTCCGAGTGCTCTTCAAGGGGAGCCCCATGTAGAGAGCATTACAGTAGTCCAGGCGAGAAGTGATGAGGGCATGAGTGACCGTGCGCAAGGAGTCCCGATCCAGAAAGGGACGCAACTGGCATATCAGGCAAACCTGATAGAAAGCCCCCCTGGCCACAGCCGTCACATGTTCTTCTAAGGACAGCTGTGCGTCCAGGAGGACACCCAAGTTGCGAGCCCTCTCCGTGGGGGCCAACAACTCCCCCCAATAGTCAGAGATGGCACCAACTGACTATATCGGGACGCCGGGAACCACAGCCACTTGGTCTTGGATGGGTTGAGCTTGAGCCAGTTTCTCCCTATCCAGATCCGCACGGCCTCCAGACACTGGGACATCACATCAAGGGCATCATTGGGGTGGTCCGGGGTGGAGAGGTACAGCTGAGTGTCATCAGCGTACTGATGGAACTTCACCCCGAAACCACGGATGATCTCACCCAGCGGCTTCACATAAATGTTGAACAGAAGGGGTGAGAGGACCGACCCCTGCAGCACCCCGCATACAAGGTCCCTCGAGGTCGACCTCTGCCCCCCCATCAACACAAACTGTGACCAGTCAGAGAGGAAGGAGGAGAACCACCATAACATGGTGCCCTCCACCCCTAACCCTTCCAACCGGCACAGCTTTATACCATGGTCGATGGTATCAAAAGCCGCTGAGATGTCTAATAGGACCAGGACAGAGGAACAACCCCTGTCCCGAGCCCTCCAGAGATCATCAACCAATGTGACCAATGCCGTTTCCATGCTGTACCTGGAACAGATCAAGATAAACCGCTTCATCCAGGTACTGGGGGAACTGTCGCACCATCACACTCTCAACAACCTTCACCACAAAGCGGAGGTTGGAGACTGGACGATAATTTGCTAAAACAGCCCGGTCCAGGGAGGGCTTCTTGAGGAGGGGCCTCACCACCGCCTCTTTCAAGACGGCGGGAAAGCAATCCTCTCTCAAAGAAGCATTGATAATCCTCTGGAGCCAGCCTCGTGTAACTTCCCGGGAAGCCAGCACCAACCAGGAGGGACACAGGTCCAATAAACATGTGGGCGTGCTGAGTCTACCTAGAATCCTGTCCACGTCTTCGGGGGTTACCGGGTCAAACTCCTCCCAGATAACACTCTCAAGACCTGCCTCCATCACCCCACCTGCATCTACCCAGTCAGATTCCAAGCCTTCCCGAATCTGAGCGATTTTGTCATGCAGTTATCCGCAGACGCGATAAGAATGGAAAAATAATTAAACTTTGCCATTTTTATCGCTACTAGGAAGGTCTTAATATAAGACCTCACCAGTGTTCGGTCAGATTTGAAAAGGCTAGCCCTCCAACCGCTCTCCAGGCGTCTTTTCCGGTGCTTCATCTCCCTCGGCTCCTCGGAGAACCAGGGAGCTAAGTGAGATCGGCGCTGAGTCAGAGGCCGCAAAGGCACGACACGGTCCACAGCTCCAGTGGCCGCCCTATCCCAGGTGGCCGCCAGGTTTTCAGTCGAGTCATGAGCCAGAGCCTCAGGGAATGGCCCAAGCTCCGTCCGGAACCTATCAGGATCCATCAGGTGCCTGGGGCGGAACCACCTAGTCAGTTCCACCTCCCTGCGGCGGGGTGTAGCAATACGGAAGTCGAGCCGAATGAGAGAATGGTCTGACCATGACAAGGGCTCAATCACTATATCCCCTATATCTAAACCATTCAACCACTGACCAGAGATAAAAACCAAGTCCAGAGTGTGTCCCCCCGTGTGAGTAGGCCCATGAACTAACTGGGTCAGGTCCATGGCGTCACGGAAGCCATGAACTCCCGAGCTGCCTCAGACATTTCACTGACGGATGGCAGGTTGAAATCCCCCATAACCATAAGTCTGGGGGTAACAACCGCCACCCCGGCTATCACATCGAGCAGTTCTGGCAGGGCCGCCGCCATGTGGCAGGGAGCCAGGTAGGAGATCAGCAAGCCCATCTACACCCCATGACCCCACTTCACAAAGAGGGACTCACATCCGGCTATCTGAGGTACAGTGGCCTCCCTCGGACCTAGAGCTTTATAGTCCAGTCCGAATTTAAACAGCTCTTCTCACCTCTTTTTTCCTTTTTTCCTTTTATTTATACAACACTTCTGTTATAGGGCTTATTGTCCATTCTCTTTTGTTTTTCTTGAAATTCGAAAAAGAAAGGGAAAAAAAGGATCTATTTCTTTCTTTCTGATCCTTTAACCAATCTTGGGGCAATTTCTCTAGATATTTAAAATTTTCCAAATTATTTCCAAATAATTTTGTTCAAAAGTCAATTTTCCATCAGGTTTTTGTCCCTTTAAGATTATGCTTCAAAATCTTCTTTTCTTCCCCCTGTGCTCATTAGCCACTATTTTATCGCTAGGGGTCTTAAAGTTAAAAATTATTTTCCTTATTGTTGTTTCAACCGTGGGTTGGCTGTCACTCACCCGGCTTCAAAAAACTCCGTTCCATTCATCACTCCTGCTCAATGCTTAGTTCGGTTGCCCCAGCTTTGTGAGAGCCGCAATGGCTGCTGTCCCCCACTGCCGAGTCATAGAGAGTTTCCTCTGACCTTGGAGGAACTTGCCTGTTCCTCTTGGCCTTCCAAGGAGCCTCTCCTTCTTCCCCGTCCCTACAGGACAGTTCTGGTCCGAAGACCACTTGGCAGCGGTTCATCAGTCCGGGTTTTCATGGAGCTCATCAGAGCCCACTAATTCCCTGACTGTCTTGCTGCGATGCTTCTGGTCAAATCGCTCACAGACCTGTTTCATGTCCCTCCTGGCTGGTGGGGCCAAGGGGGGCAGCTGGCCAAGGGGAGCCGCAGGAGAGGTGCATCTGTGGCCATGCAAGGGGCCTCATCAAGCAGGGGATGAGCGCCCACAGCTGGGGCTCCTCCATCTCTCACAGGGCTCTACCCAGAAGGACCGGGAGGGCCACCGAGATACTGTCCTGTTCCTCTAAGGTGGAAGGAGAGGAGGAGGAGCCGGGGACAAAGAACACAATCCAAGAACTGAAATCCTGTCTCCAGAAATGGCAGCTGCTTTAGTTCTCCTCCACATCCGGCAGCAGGGTGGGCTGCTTCACCTGAAAACTGCTGCAAAGCAACATCTCAGGAGCTGCGGGTGTATTTCTGAACATGCCGGAGGCCAAGAATCCCCTTCCAGGGAAGCCCAGGTTCCTCAGCTCTTCCCCTCTCCAGAAGGTGGGGTGCAGGAAGAACATGGTCTCCATGGAAGACCAGAGACCTCCGGCTGTGATGGCTGGGGGGAGCCACTTCTGGGTTGGTCTGGCCATGAGCAAAGGCTTCAGCACTAGACCAGAGCAATGTTCCTCTGACCTGTGGCCTCTTCTCCAGGCTGCTGTTCCCCAGGATGGAAGCTCTTTAGATGGAAGTGTTTGCGGATTTCTGATAGACCGAAGACTTGGGAGGGCAGCCAACAGGACTGCAAAGGCACTTCCTCTCACCTGCTTATTCTGAAAACGTCCTGGGATGCTCATGATGTCTGGCCCCCTGCGGTGAGTACCAAAGGCTTCCTGGGCAGGATTAAGGCTACAGGCAGGCAGCAAGTTGAAACCAGAGAGGAGATCAGGGATTTCACCAAACCACAGACTGATCCTTCCTTCAATACATAGAAGATAGAAATGGTAGATGAGATGGATAGATTAGATAGATAAATGAGTTAGATGTGATGATAGATAGATAGATAGATAGATAGATAGATAGATAGATAGATAGATAGAATACAGAATACAGAATACAGAATACAGAATAACAGAGTTGGAAGGGACCTTGTAGGTCATCTAGTCCAATCCCCCACCCAAGCAGAAGACCCTACACCATTTCTGACAGATGACAGACAGACAGATAGATAGACAGATAGTGTTAACATTCCAGAATAACCCAAATCCAATTAAAAACTCCGAGACAAGCATTTTCTCAAAGTTCCATTTATTAGAGTAGTTATACTGGCACATCTGGGAAAACCCGAATCAGAGAGTTCCGGGTTTTCCCTCAGTAAATCAAAACCCCCAAATCCATTCCCTGCACCCATCAGTCCATCACATGGTCCAATCACCATCCATCCCATCTTGAGACATCACTCCAACCACTCCTTCTCCAGATGCAGGACTGTCATGACCTTGACCGAAAAGAAGAATGCTATTTTGTCTAACTAACATTCTAACATTCCCTCTACTAAATCCCCCCTCCTACTTTCCCACACACAAGAAGGTGGCAGCGTGGAAGCTTCCGGTGCTAATATGGCTTCCAAAGCTGACAGACAGACAGACAGACAGACAGACAGACAGATACCGTGTTTCCCTGAAAATAAGACCATGTCTTATACTTTTTTTAAACCCTGAAATAAGCGCTTGGCCTTATTGCCATGCGCTCAAAAGCTCGATTGGGCCTATTATCAGTAGATGTCTTATTTTTGGGGAAACAGGATATAGAATAACAGAATTGGAAGGGACCTTGTAGGTCATCTAGTCCAACCCCCCAACCAAGCAGAAGACCCTACACCATGTCTGACAGATGGCAGATAGATAGATAGATAGATAGATAGATAGATAGATAGATAGATAGATGATAGATGATATTATTATTATTATTATTATTATTATTTATTAAATAGATAGATAGATAGATAGATAGATAGATAGATAGATAGATAGATAGATAGATAGATAGATAGATAGATAGATAGATAGATAGATAGATGATAGAGGTAGGTAGGTAGGTAGGTAGATAATGAGATAGATGAGATAGGTGACATAGATAGCTAGATACCAAGGTTCCCTGAAAATACAATCTGCCCTGAAAACAAGCCCTAGCTTGATTTTCATGCCTGCACCGAATATAAGCTCCACCTTGAAAATAAGCCCTATTTAAGCCCCGCCCACCATCTGTACAAGGTGGGGTGGGGCGCAGGCATAAAAAACAAGCTAGGGCAGGGTTGGGAGGGTAGAGAAAGAAAAGCAGATGCAACAGAGACTCTGGCTTGTTTCTCTCCCCCAAACTCCACCAGAAATGGGTCTTCATGAGGCTTATCGTGGTGGTGCAGCCACCAGCAGCAGGTTGTCATGAGGCTGATCATGTACGGCAGGACGCCGCAAGGTTTGTTGTGCCGCTGTATGTGTGAGCAGCTGCACCGGTGTGACGAACCTCATGGCGGTGCCACCAGTCATACGCACGACAACACAACAAGCCTGGCTAGCCACTTTCTTCCACATTCACCACTTGTTGCTCTCCCAATCTACTGATGGATTCTATTTCCTCCACCAGGCTAGCCATAGGGCCATGGTCTCGGTCATTCCAGGAGCCACAATAAAATGAATAGTCTCCACCTGGGTCCCAGCCCTGAGCTCACTGGCTCCGTTAGGAAAGTTGCTGGTGTCCCTCCCATAGGTGAGCCATATAACTGGGAGACCCCATGGGGTGCCTTAACTTCCTCAGCCTAGTTTCTCCATTGTCTGAAGGCTAATTAGGCACCAAGTGCATCCCAATCCAACAAGGCTGTGACCACCCCCCTTACTCCTGAGGAGGGCATCAAAGTCTCCACCCGGGCTTCTCCCTCTTGGTAGGGGTTGCACTTCCTCTCCCTCCACAGGGCGCTGGGCGTCTCTCGGGCATTCAGCAGGATCGGTTCTCATGCACAACATGCTCCCAGTACTCCATCGGGTCGAGCTCCACATTTGTAGCTAACTGGTACCCCACTCAAAGGTCACAAGGCACCCACCGGGGCAGGCAGTTGTGAGACATATCTTTGTTCAGCCCCTCCCGGAATTGGTAGACCAGCATATGCTTGGCCCAATCTCTCAGGTGAGCCACCAAAATCTTGGATATACTCTGCCACCAACCACTTGCCCAGCCGTAGGGAATGGGAACGGGTTTCGGCATGCAACTGAATCTGTCTCACAATGCCTGCATAAAAGCATCCAGGCCTTGCAGCTCCAGAGCCCCCTCATTGTAGAGAGACCCCAGCTATCCTGTTGCATCCACCTCCAGATTCGATGTAACGGCATGAAGACCCGGATTGTGGGGGCAATAAGCTGACTTTGTATATAAAAAAAGAAAAAGAATACCTCTTGTGGGGGGCGAAAGCCCTACTAAGCAGGTATATACAAAAGTATGAAGGCTATTGCTTAACACATTGTAAGCCGCCCTGAGTCTCCGGAGAAGGGCGGCATATAAATCGAACCAATAAATAAATTGACCCAGGCATTCTTCCAGGTACATCCCTCAATGGTGCTCTATTTAGTTCCAGACTTAAGTCAGGAAGTAAGCCAAGTTGTTGGGCTGCCCATCAAACCAGACTGCTAGGGGAGGTGGCGGTCAGTCCTTTCACACTAGGACGTATCCAGGAGGCAATCTCACGGCAGCCAGGGGTGCTTGAACAGGAATACCTGTTCCTAGGGCTGGAGCTGCCTGCGCCTGCCTCCCCAATGGATGTCAGCAGGGATGGGAACCACTGGACCTTGGTGGGGGATTCCCACCGCCCCAGATGGGGTTGGCACCATCAACTGCAGGAGGGGAGGAGATGGGGTAGGCAACAGTTTCATGGCACCTGTCCCAACACTCACGATCCCCGCCCTTAGTGAGGTGGCTCTCCAGACCTCCAGCCAGCTGAACTTCTCCCTGAGCTGCTCCATCAATGGACTGCAAGCATCCCACTCGGCTGCTCACCCAGCCTTCCACTTGCTCCCCCGGTTCACCATGACTCCAGGAGGGATCGGTTGATCCTCTGCTTCCGCCACCTTCCCCACGTGGCTTGCCCACAGGTCCTTGGGGCCCAAGTAGAATCCTTCCATCTCTCTCCCCCCCTTGAGCGTGAGCTGTTGCTCCAGGTTCTCAGCTCTCTGTTGGTGTGTGTGCTGGCAGCTTGCATCCTGGCTTCAGCTTGGACTGCTGGCGGGGTCTCCCTAACTTCGCCCTCCCTTTCCATTCCTTTCTTGGTTGCCGACATCTCAAAACTACCAACCTCCTGGTGGAGTCCAGGTAGGCAGCTACATGGAGAGCTGGTTCAATGTCAACTGTGCAGTTGGCGAATCCAGAAAAGAAACTCCACATTGGCACAGAAAGCGAAACTAGTTCTGGGTTTCCCACACAAAAACAAGCATAGTTCATTCTGCCTTTCCCCACAGGCCACCCACAATGCTAGTGCCAACCTTATGCTTTCACTCTGTACCTCAGGTATCACAGTGGACATTTTTCCTTTGTGAAAGACCTTGTGCCACTAACCTTGCCTTATACTGGACCTCATTGTTGGGCAGCACTTTCTTTTTGTACACCCACTTACATCCTACGACTTTGCAACCTTGTGGCAAAGTCATAGATGTGAACACTTTATATTCACCCATGGATTTCATTTCTTTGTCCATGGGTTCTTTCCACTTCACTTGTTCAATTTTGGGTAATGCCAATATTTCCTGATAGTTTCTTGGCTCATACCACACATCACACACCTTTACTTCACTAGCAGAATACCTGTCAGGTGGAATCCCCTTGTTCCATCGCTCTGACCTGCGTGGCATTGACGGCTCTTGCGTTTCAACCCTCTCTTGCTTCATATCTGAGTCATCATCTTCTCTTGGCTCCTTTTCTTGTTCTTTTTCAGCTTCTCCTCCCTGAATGCGGACACCGTCACTAAGTGTGTTACCATCACTAAGTAGGCCACCATCACTAAGTGGATCATTCCAAAAATTGGCATCAATTCTGTTCCAGTTTTACTCTGCAAAGCCAGCAGATCTGGAAATGACTAATCTCTTGCTCCCATGGCTAAAGCGATAGCTCTTTGAGCCAGGCTCATAGCTTGTAAACCTGAGCTTCCTAGCCTTTGGTTGACCTTTTCTCCTGATTGCTTTTGGAATAGGCCCCCATGCATTGTTTCCAAACACCCTTAGATGTGCCAGAGATGGCTTTCTCCCATATAGCACTGCATATGGAGTATCATTAATAGAGGAACTCCACAGCCTATTGATTAAATAATTAGCAGTCAACATGGTTTCACCCCAATATGACCTGCTCAGACCAGAATCCTCCAGCAGTGAGTCCTTCATCATTTGTAAGACTCAATTACACCATTCTCAGTTGCTGTGTCTGTCTATTAACCATCTGTCTCTCCTATTACAATAGCTAATTTTTCCAACAGCAGCTTGTCCATCTGTTGTTTCTCTTCCTTGTAAACAGTCTTTCTTTAAATGAGTCTTATCACCACCAATGAAACACCACCGTTGTTCCTGTTCTTTCTTTTTAGAAATTCTTTGCTGGGCTGTAATCCAATTGTTCTGTTGCAAGCAGCTAGAATGCTTGGCGCAGACAGATAAACTCCACGGAAATGGTATCATGCAGATTACTTTTATTCTTCAGGCATTCTCTAAACAATAACTCACAGTCACTGAAGAGATTCTTCTGAGGTACACATAATCTATTTCCAATTCATGTAAGTGAAACGAGATAGTTTGTCCCTGTGTTGAGGGAGCAAACAACTCCCAGTTGGGCTGAAATTTAAAAACCC